TCGGACTCCCAGCCTGCCCGCGCCTGGTGCCCCTGCTCATACTGCAGGGCCCCCTCGGCGAGGGCTGGCGAGCCCGACGCGGGGTCTCGTGCATCAGCCCTCCTCTTCCCCCCTCCTCCGCCCCCCTCCCCCCCCTTCCTCCTCCTCCTCCTCCTCCTGCTCCTCCTCCTCCGCCTCCTCCTCCTCCTCCTCCTCCTCCTCCGCCCCTCCCCTCCTCCGCCCCCTCCTCCCTCCTGCGGGCTGGGCCTGCTCGGTCGCCGCCCTCGCGGGGGCTCGCGCCCTTCTCTTGGCCGCCAGGCTGGCGCCCCCGCCGGGTCGCTCCTCGGCGGACTGCAGCCCGCCCTCACGGCCTCTCGCCTCGCCATGCATCGGTCTCTTGCGCCGCCGTTTGCAGCTCTGGCGCTGCGTTCGGACGGTCGGCCGTCTGGCTTTCGCTCCAGCCTCTGCTTCCTGGCGAGCCTCGGGGGCAAGGCAGGCTGCCATTCCCGACGGGCACGGCTGGTGTCACTGGGCTTCACAGCCGTCTCTTTTTCTCGTGTGCCTCTTCTCTCCTTTCCTTATCTTGTCTGTGTCGTGCCTCCTCGGGGGGTGTCCAGAGCTCTTTCTAGTTCACCTGGCTTGGCTAACCAGTGAACCCACAGGTCAGGATTGGGCGCGGTCGCTGTCGCCAGGCATCCCAGCTACCTACCTACTCTTCTTTGCTGCCTCTCGCTGTACTTCCTGGTCTTTCTCTGCCGCTCCACTCCTGATGGCCTCGGCCGCTTCGCTTCACTCTCGCTTTGGCCTGCTGTCGACACCCGCTATCACTGGCGGCTCGGCCGCCTCGGCGCCTTCACGGTGGCCACCCCTTGCTCCTCGCCTCGGCGCCGACCGCGGCCTCGCCCGTCCTCCGCGTCCTCCCCTCCGCGCCGCCGCGCGCCCGCGCGGGCCCCCCCCCCTCCTGCCGGTTTGGCCCCTGCGCTCCGGCCGCGGCGCCCCGACCTGGCGGCGGCGGAGCGCCGTGCGCGACATGTGCGGGCGCGTTGGCCGCGCGGCGCTGCACGTGATCGAGGCGTTCGACGCCGTCGGCTCCCACCGCGGCCAGGCCTTGCCCTGGCTCGGCCGCGCGCTGCGTGCGGCGCTGGCCCGCCCGCCAGGGGGCTCCCGCCAGTGCCGACGACGGCGACGTCGGTCTCGGCGGCCCGCTCCCGTTCCGGGCAGCCGGACTTCTTCTCGCTGACGTCGGCGGTGGCAGTGTTGGGCCCCTTGTCGCTGCGGCCGATACAGGCGCACCTAGGCCTCCTTTGTTCGTCCCCGTGCTGGTGGAGAGACGATGGCGTTTTTCTAGGAGGGCGTCGAGCCGATCAGGATCTTGGTGAGGACGTGCCATCTTGGCCCACGGAGCCATGGTTGCAGATGGAGGCGCGGGAGTGCATCATGATGAGCCCGTCGTGTGCGTCACCGTCGAGGTGCCGCAGCTGGTGCCGCACGAGTCGTTCGGCCCGTTCGGGCTGCCCCGATGGCTTGGGCTCAGCGCGAGTCGCCGCTCGACCCCGAGAAGCGCGCGCAGCTCGCAACCCGACGGGCGCGGAGGCGGTTGGACGGCTCCTTGGCAGGGCTCGGGGCGGTCGAGGCTGCCATGGCTGCTGCAGGGCTCCCCGCTTCGTCCAGCTCTCCTGGATGCTGAAGTTCAGCGGCTGTCAGTTTTTTGGCACAGGGTCGGAGCTTTTTTGCCGTCGTCGAGGTGCTCACGGTTTCTCCTACCGTCCGCGGCACGCCCCTTCGGGGGGTCAGTGCCGGTCGCCGCCCAACCCTTCGGCGAGAGATCCTCATGGGGAGCAGCTTGGCGCATTGGCGCGCCCAGCGTCTTCTCCTTCGACTTCGGCTTCACGGAGTCCTTCTAGTTCTTCGCCGTCTCCCTGAAGATGGCGGAGGAGGGAGATGATGATGATGATGATGATGATGATGATGATGATGATGATGATGATGATGATGATGATGATGATGATGATGATGATGATGATGATGATGATGAGGAAGGAGGAGGAGGAGGAGGAGGAGGAGGAGGAGGAGGAGGAGGATTGGAGGAGGAGGAGGGGGGAGGAGGGGGAGGAGGGGGAGGAGGAGGAGGAGGCGGAGGAGGAGGAGGATGAGAAGGAGGAGGAGGAGGAGGAGGAGGAGGAATAACAATAATAATAACAATAAGCAGGAGGAGGAGGAGGTGGAGGAGGAGGAGGAGGAGGGGAAGGAGGATGATAATAATACACATAAGAAGACGAATACGAATCAGAGGAATACCAATACTAATAGTAATAATCATACTAGTAATAGGAACACTAATAACACACATACACTTAATACTAGTAAGCGTAAAACGAATAGTAATACTACGATCGCTGATAACAATATTAATTATCAAATTAAGAATGCTACACATAAAAATAAGACTAATAAGACAAAGGAAATGAGGATACCTACTAATACTCATCATACGAATAATAAGAACAATAGTTTGATAGTAAGAAGAATCAGACTAATCATACTAAGGCGATTAATGATACGAAGAAGAGGAATAGGAGGAGGGGGAGGAGGAGGAGGAGGAGGAGGAGGAGGAGGGGGAGGAGGAGGAGGAGGAGGAGAGGATGAGGAGGAGTAGTAGTAATAATAGTAATTATAATAATAATACTAAGAAGAAGAATAATAATAAGAAACATAATAATAATGAAATATTAATAATAATAATAACAATAATAATAACAACAATAATAATACTAATACTAATACTAATAATAATAATAAGAATAATAAGAATAATCATGATACTAAGAAGAAGAAGAGGAGGGGGAGGGGAGGAGGAGGAGGAGGAGGGGGAGGAGGAGGAGGAGGAGGAGAGGAGGAGAGGAGGAGGAGGAGGAGGAGGAGGAGGAGGAGGAGGAGGAGGTAGACGTCCCCCTTCCTCGTCTTCGACGTGGACGGCGGGGCCGACGTGCCTCGCGCGCGGCCTGGCGGTCGTGTGCTGCTCCCCCGCGCGCGGCGTTCCGCCCGCCCCGGCGGCCGAGGGCGGCGACGGGCGCTCCCGCGCGACCCGATCGACCGCTTCTTGGGAGCTCGATGCTCGATACTCCCCCGACTCCTCCTCCTCCTCCTCCTCCTCCTCTCCTTCCTCCGCCTCCTCCTCCTCCGCCTCCTCCTCTTCCTCCTCCTCCTCTCCTTCCTCCTCTCCTCCTCCTCCGCCTCCTCCTCCCTCCGCCTCCGCCTCCTCCTCCTCCTCCCTCTCCTCCTCGTACTCCTCCTCATTCCTCCTCCTCCTCCTCCTCCTCCTCCTCCTCCCTCTGTTCTTGGGCCTGGATTCGCCAGCGCGCGTTTCCAGCTTCTGCTTCCGCACCAGTTCGTAAGGAAGCCCATTCGAGGCATTCGTATCCCGCTGCCTCGCTGCCGCGGTATGGATTCAGCCGCGCGTCTGAGGCACAAGTGTGTGTGTGTGTGTGTGTGTGTGTGTGTGTGTGTGGGTGTACATTGTTTCGAGCTCGTTGGACTCTGGGGCAGTGTATGCGGTCGCTCTGTCGCACGCAAGAGCAAACAATGCCCCCCCGCCCGAAGCTCTCGAATGAAAGCTCAACGCCTGCCAACTTCTCACGTCTTCTTCGTCTTCACCGGCTTCTGAGTTCTCTTCGGTTTCTCCGCATTCCTCCTTTTGGTCGTCGTCTTGTTCATTCTCTCTTGATGGGATCCCAAGACTTTGAGCGAAAACAGGTGTGCAGGATGTCCCGCGGAAGCGGCCGAACTAGAACACGTCACCGCGACCCTAAGCCGCCCTCCAGGCGGCGGTGGTGGTGGTGGTGGTGGTGGTGGTGGTGGTGGTGTCGATCCTCCTTTCTGCCACCCCTCCCCCTTCACTCCAGCACGAGCACAGCTGCACCAAAGATCTGAGCTGGATCCAGGCTACAACGCATACTAAATGTTGGCGAATACGTGAAGCCGCTTTCGTTTCACAGCGCTGAACTTGCGGGCAGGATGTATATCCATACCCAGTACATGTTGGACTTTCTTGGAAGGGGCGCCACGAGGCCGAGGCGCACTGGACATGGATAAGAATCGAGCCTCCAGGGGGCAGATTTGTCCACATCCAGTGCGCCTCGGGTTCCTGGGGAAGGGAGCCCGAAACTCAATACTGCAGTGGATACAGTGGATATGGACAGAAGAATTGCCCGCTGAACTGCTGCTGTCCCTCTCGAGGCGACGGCCTCCGCCGCCACGCCCCAGCGGGCGCGCGCGGGCGCCCGCGCGGCGCGCGCGCGCGCGCGGATACGGTGCTCGCTCGCTCGCTCGCTCCCCCCTTCCCCCTCCTGGGAGGCCCTCCGCGCCCCAGGTGGCGGGCGGGGTGGTCATTCCGGGCGCCCCCGAACGGAGCGGTGACCACACCGCGTGGCGGGTCCGTGGGGGTGCGGGCTGACCGCGCGGTGTTTGGGACCCGGGTCGTTCTCCGAGGTCCCAGAGCCGTGCGGCGATCGACCGTGCGGTGAGGCATTTCTGGGGATGCCGACGTCACCGCACGGTCTGTCACCGCACTGTTTCGGGACCCCCGAGTGATCCCTCCTCCCCCCTGGCCTCTTCCCCCTCTCTCCCCCCCTCCGCGGCGCGCTGCGCCGCGCCCGTCGCCGCGACCCGGGCTGGGCAAGGACGGCAGGACGCTGTTCGTCAACGAGGTGAAGGGCGGGGCCGTGCAGGAGATGCTGAGGGGGGAAGGAAAAAACACACAGACACAATTAATCGTCGAGTCCCAGGAAAATATGGGAAAATATGGGAAGTGGGGGGGAAGACAAAAACCCAGAAAATATGGAAACATATGGGGAATCTTGTTATTTGTGTGAATTTATTTGTGTGTACCTTGGCCCCTTCAGCTGAGGGGGGAGGGGGCGGCCGGTCGGTGGGACATGGTGCGACTCGGCCTCGGGGGGTCGATATGCCTTCTGTTGTCTGAGGTGCTGCCGGACGGCGCACGCTCGCCAGTCCGTCGGGGCGCGTGCTGGGCTAGCTTTCGCGCCCTCGGAGGGGGAGGGAGGGAGGGAGGGGCTGCGTGAAAGGGGGGGGGTTGCATGGAGGAGGGGAGGCGGTGAAGGGCGCCGCTGGGCTGGAGGCAGTTGGGGATGGTGGAGGGAGGAGAGGCGATGCGGAGAGGGTGTGTGTGTGTGTGTGTGTGTGTGTGTGGAGCGCCTCCGCCCCCTCGCTCTCCTTTTGATTGTCCTTCTGCTCCGTACCCTTGCCCGGCGCAGGAGTGGAACTCTGGACATCTGCCACACCAGCAGGCTTCGAGCTGGCGCCACGCTCTCTCCCGCGTCTCCTTCGGAGTACAAGCGAATGACAGCGGGGGGGGTATTGATCATGACGAGGGCGGGGGTTATGGAACAATGGTGACGATGACGGCGATGCTGACAGTGGTCGAAAGCCTTGCGATTGCGACGGCGATGGCGGCGGACGGCGATGATGGTGATGGTGATGTTGCTGATGATGATGGTGATGATGGCGACGCTGGCGATGATGATGTCGATGATGATTCTGATGATGGTGATGATGATGGCGATGTTGATGATAATGATGATGATGATGATGATGATGATGATGAGGATGATGATGATGATGATGAGGATGCGGATGCGGATGCGGATGTGGATGGGGATGATGATGAGGATTAATATGATGATGCTGATGATGATCATGCTGATGATGCTGATGATGTTGTTGATGATGATGGTGTTGTAGACGATGATGTTGATGATGATGGTGTTGTAGACGATGAGGAGGATGATGATGATGATGATGATGATGATGAGGATGAGGATGAGGATGAGGATGAGGATGAGGATGAGGATGAGGATGAGGATGAGGATGCTGATGATGATGATGATGATGATGATGATGCTGATGATGATGATGATGATGATGATTAGGGCGATGATGCTGTTGATGATGTTGATGACGATTCTGAAGATGGCGATGATGGTGATGGTGGTGATTGTGGTGATGATGATGGTGCGTATGATACGGGTTATCATAACAATACAGGCTTGTGGCGATGCGGATGAACGGTCCTGACGACCAAATATCCTCACACAACTACATCACACATGTTTGGGATGTCCACGTGGATTGTGCGGCGCCAGCCCACGAAGTCCGCGCGGATCTCAGAGAGTGTACTTCGATGCAGTTTCCTGCCCTTGTGGACGAGCAGACTGCGATCACTCGCACAGGGGTCTACAGCAGGTTCGTGTGCCGTGCCGACTCGGCGAAGATGCAGGTTCGGGCTTTCAAGGTTTGATTTGAATGCCGCCAGTGGTCCGGGAACTGGCCGACATCGAACGATCTACGCTACCAGAAGGCCGCAATCGTTCAGGGTCGAGCGATCCAGGCGGTGTCGCAAGCCACCGCCGACGCCGTCGCGACGTTCGCCTGCCGTGGCGGTGGTAGCGCAGGGCATAGCAGCCCGCCGCGAAGCGCAGGTGGCCGCGGGCGACCGGGTCGTCGCCGTGAACGGGCGCCTGTCTCCTTCTGTGCTGCTGCCGCTGGCCGCTCGCTCCGAAGCCGCTTCCGTCCCTCTTTCGTAGGGCGGGAGGAGGAGGAGGAGTGGGATGACATGAGGGGGAGGGGAAGGAGGGGGGGAGGGAGGGAGGGTGGGAGGGAGAGGGTCATGGAGAGTGGAAGAAGATGAGCAGGGGTAGGGAGGGGAGGGGGGGATGGGAGGGTGGAGGGAGGGAGGGAGGGAGGGAGGGAGACAGGGAGGGAGAGTGGGAGGGAGGGAGGGAGGGAGGGAGAGAGGGAGGGAGGGAGGGAGGGAGGAGGAGGAGGAGGAGGAGGAGGAGGAGGAGGAAGATGAGGATGATAATAATCGGCGGAGGAAGACACACCCCGAGCCCCATACTTTGCGTTTGCTAAACAGTCCTGGGCGCTGACTGAACAGCCCTGCCCTGTTCGATTTCTTTCATGGGAACGTTTACTAACAGCTTCGCTTGTCGGGTGCTTATTATCAGGGTGGTTCTTCTTCCCTCTAGAGAAGGGGGGGGACAGAAGAAGGAGGAGGAGGAGGAGAAGGACATCGGAGGACCAACAGCAAGCCCAGGACGCATCAACACTTCAATCAGCCCCCCCTGTTTTTGAATAAGTTGTTGTAGGTGATCTTTTTCACTGCTGGAAGCCCCTCTTTGAAAGCCGAGGGGCCACCGGGCCCCTGCCATGCAGGCGAAGGCTCCGCTGTGAGCGCTCCTGGTCGTTATGCCCCGCCGTGCGCCACGTCGCGGCAGCCAGCGCCGCAGCACACCGCTACAAGACCTTCATGGTCTGATGGGGCCCGAGGAGGCTAAAAACATCGATTTTCCATTGGTTTGTAAAGGTTTTCCGTATTTGCTCCTTTTCGGCCGATCGGCGCTCGGCCGTCCTCCTTCTCTTCCTGCTCGTCCTCCTCCTCCTCATCCTCCTACTCCTCCTACTCCTCCTACTCCTCCTGCTCCTTGTCCTCCTCCTGCGCCT